TCGCCATAGTAAAGGATTTTCAATAATACAGGAGCATGTACCTTATACATAGACATTCTACACTATGAAGTGGCAAGTCTGAAAATGCCGTAGATTTCGAGAAATCAATCTCATTGTGCGAATAGCCAGCGGCCCTGATCACCACTATCTAATTTTTTGATTGGGTGATTCCTGGCCTTCAGCGTTTCCACGTGGCCGTGTGAAAGTATGACTGTCACGACTATAAATGTGTAAATGGTGCAGTAGAACGCTGTCGAAGAAACGTCCTTGATGTCACCAGCAAGTCTAATTCCCAGAGTTCATTCACGGCGGGTGTATTAACCATCTATTGCAACGCTTATCGTGAAGTGTTAGAATTTGATTTTCGTTTTAAACCTCCGTGAGATATGATGTGAGTACACACAAGAAATTCGTCGGACTGAGAGGATATTAGTCTTAACTTCTAAGGTCCGTCCATATCTAATGCGCGTCAACTGGATCGCTAAATTTAGTCGTTTAAGTTTATGCGAGCTTTGGGGTGACGATAGATTTGCCGTGTGGTTCCTTTACCTTAGGGTCAATCGAATCCTTAGCTATGACGTACATATACATGGTCTCAACATGCTACTGTGCCACTGAGTGCAAGGTGGGATGTGTTTGTGGGCGGATTTTGTGGCCAGGACTTTTGACCAATGAACATTCTGTATTCACAGCATCGGCCGACTTCCCGAGCTCCGCCAGTCATGCGCTGGGTGCATCTGCTCTGTGCGGTGACTTGCTCTGTCGACAAGTAAAGTACACGGGTTTCATTACCTTGATACATTGGAAAATCTCACGTTCACCCATATTTGTGTGGCTTCTTCTTCCTTATTCACAAATCGTCGGTTCGTGGCGTCAGCGCTGTGCAATAGTGTCGTTTTGGAGGTATGACTACTTGTCTTGCCTGATCAGATTTCCAGGCGTTTCCTACAAACTGCCAGTTTTGTATTCCACCGCTTCGTCGGAAAATAAATGCGCCCCCTGCATTCATTGTTAATTGCTGGTCGTCAATGCTTTAAATACTGTGTGCCCGTGTTTTTGGACATCCACAAGAGAAACCATGGGGTAAATTCCCTCCGTTTTTCGGAATGCAGCCGTCGCCTAGTTCTTGTTCAATTCGTTCGATTTGAGTAACGTTTCTTACCTTCGAATTCATGACATTATTGATTCATTTCGGTCTGTAATCGGTCGATTTCGAAACGCTCATGAGTGGTTGTAGAATTTTATGCTTAACATTCACCAGTGTAGGAGTCTTAGGATCCCGTGGTAGTAGAGTTCAAAGCATTTGAATTCCCCAAGTGTTTGTGCTGAGGGGGGAGGGTTTCATGATTAGCGCATGCTGAACGTGGAGATGTGTCTGCAGCCAAAATCACAGCTAGTGCATAATCCTAACATGCGACTGTGAAAAGCTTGTGGTCATGAGACTTAAGAAGATTCTTCGGGAATAGTCAGAATCATTTTGTATTTGGAAGACAAGGCTGAGGCTGTCACGCAACCTCCGATGTGGGGCAGGTCATGGAGTTCCCCAATACAATGTCCTGCTAGTTTATTGAGCGCGACATTCTGTTGTCCCCGGTCAAAGGCCTGTGTTAAGTCTTGATATATTACTCCAGCATCAATTTCTCTAGTCTAGCTGTTTTTAGTCACCTAGAAACCTATCCTCATTCCCTTGTTCGACTCCTCATCCAATGTTTTCCCCCTGGCGATGCCAGTGGCCTTGATCTTTAAAGGATCGATGATCGGCCCTCGCGCCGTTGTACCTCGCAGTATTTAAATAGGAATTGTTGGTTTTCCCTTCGGCGCTTTCACGTGACCCTCCCCGATCTCCTGTTCATTGACTCCCTTCTTGCATTATTAAAGTAGAGTCACTACGTACATCGATTGGTTGTTATATACCATGCACTCTAAGTTGTATACAATAACAGGAAGCCTTTTGTTACACAATTGGTGTCTGTTTCACGGAAATAATCGTACCTCATCCGCAGTTTCTTCAGCGCTGCGCTGTCAAGACCAGAATGCCTCACCCATCCGACAATGTAGCTGCCGTCCGGAGAAAAAAAATAGATGGAGGGTCATCTTTGAATCCCATTCCCCACAATGAGTCCTCTGATCTTTGCTGCCAATATCTTCTGATCTTTTTCCGTCCTCGTCCCCCCGAGGACTCTGAGTGAGATCCTCTGGATCCTGAAAACTCATTGTCATACCGCTCAGCTCTTGTCTTCATCTCGCTCATGGCTTATCCTACAAATTCCTTGCTGAAAGGTGGAGAATTGTGATTCAGCGGGGCGGACCATGTGGCATGAGCAGTAGCAGCAACGACCACCGGTCATCCTAGAAGGCTCAACGTGTAAAATCGGCTAGCAGACTAGCCTTTTGGTTAGTAAACAGATGAGGACATGATTATCTTCAAACAGCACCCTTAAGGCATGAAAACGAACGCAGCGAAGAACTTGCTTGGTCTTTGACTGAACCTCTCAGGTCGCTACACACAATGACAACGATATTAAAAATCGCTGAGTTGCGGTGCCCCTCCAATGCATAGCTTCCGCGTCACTCTGAAAAAGCACAAGGTTCGAGATACTCCCAAGTTGTCCAACCCTAAACAGGAGCAATCGAAAAGTCAGGGTTAGTTTCGAACCACGAAAGTTCCCGCCACTTGTTTTGGGCCCTAACCACCAGGTTACCACGAGTTATCTAACTGACGCACAATAATGTCAGCCTTAACACTCGTGGACACATGATTTGTTTTCGTGCTCATGTTTTGGTCTTGAGTTAAGCTTACCAACTGAGGACTCACAAAGTAGGACAAACTTCTCGCCTCTCTTTCACCAGTCTTCATTCTTCGTGAGGTGTCGCTACCCTTGGTGATCTTCACAAATCATCTCGCCGAAGGGAGCTCAATTTGGACGCTGAAGATCACAGGACACAGCGGGAAGATCGCTTAGGGAACGCGTGGTTTTCATGCAACCAACACCTTCCCTCTTTTCTGTACCTGTGCTAGACTTTGCATGTATTGAAGAGGTGTAGAGGGTTTACGTTACTATCATCGGCAGCAACACAAGGGCAGCCATATCCTTATGTTGGAAAAAAGGAGGAAGTGGGACAGAGATGGGGCCTAGTACCAGCCTAAAAAACAATCGAGGCATCTACACCTTCAGGACGCAGTCGGATAATCTAGATAGAATTCGACAACATGAGTGCTACTGAAGTCCATTAGCTATTCTTTAGATCGGTGTCTCTAGGCAAGCTTAGGGTTGGTCACGTGCCCCTATCTTGGAAGGCGAACAGCACCGACAGCGCCCAAACTTTTCGTGACATCATTTCCTTCTACCGCATCAGATTCCACCCACCAGTAGGTTCCCACCTCCGAATCGGGCAAGAAAACAGCGGTCGTCGAGGCATGCGTAACACGACCCAGCCACCATAACTTGCATTGCTGCCTGCGTTCCTTGAGGGAAGCACCCTATACTTCACTTTGGCAGCAGTAGAAACAACAACCACGACATAGAGGAACCAAGGTTTCTTGTATTATGTTAACCCGACCTTATGAGCAAAGGCTGCAAGAATTAAAAATGTTCTCAGTATTTCAGGTACCCTAAAAGAGTCTTGACTCTAGTATACCAGATAATTGCCATCCATGGCAACTCCTGTTCAGACGATCCGGAAACAAACATCTTGTTCTCACTCGAAACTCGGAACATCACCCAAGCCGTCTGAGCTGCTCTTAATAGTTTCCCTGCTTGTTGGCAGTCTATGGAACGCCTTGCCAGAAAATTTGGTATCTTATTTCTCAATAGATTCATCTAAGGAAAACCCTAGCGCGCATATTTATGTGCTACTCAGTTTGTGAAAACTCTTTGCCTGTTAATTAAGCATAATCCCACCACAGCAAAATGTAAACCGGCCTTTCACGAGGCCTTCATTTCTTGTCCTTTTCTACTTGACTCCCTTTCGCTCACCAGCCTGTGAGTATATTCAGGCTGCTAACTATTGTATACTGAAGTTTCTTATAAATAAAATGCCCATTAACCAGTTAAGCGACATTCTTTTCTTAAGTGCACAAGTTACACACCTTCTTGGCCGTTGCTTAGTTCCAGGTTGAGCACAGACGGAACACGGGACATGGGAGGTGTAAGTCGCCCTTCATCCGTTCAACACCTAGGGTATATAAACCGAAATGACTGTGGAAAGCAGTAAGTACCGAGGAATATGATGTACAGTATTTTCAGTCTGCTACCGTCATTGGTGATAACACCAGAGAAGAACACTGACACTTCAATTGGTAATCACACTAGTGGCGGCCTTAAAACGACAAATTGTACCTACGCCAGAGGTTATTCTTGATGGAACGAAATTCGGAACAAGTCGGCGGCCTGCAATCGGAACTTCAACTGAGGCTTGCTAAAAGCAACCCCGTTCCACCAGAAATTCAGAGGCGGAGTCTGGTGGGACCTTTAAAGTACGGACGACTTGCACTTTACAAGTATGGAGATTTGGTCGTATAGGCACCAAATGGTTTGTTCTAGAGGATGGAGGGTAGTGTGTGTTTTGGTTCTGCACGATTCATTTCGTTTCTTTGCTAACTAAAAAATTATTTGGATAAAACGCCATGTTCGAATTTGGTAATCTGTTCTACGAGTTTGACGCACAGAGATAGGGGTGTTATACATCCAATAGTATCTTGACGGGCCTCGCTGCAAGTCTCTTCGGTAGTGACTGCAGCCTTTTGCAAGAACACGGAGCGTTTTAGGAGGTTATTGCCAGCTAGTGGAAGCTAGCAGGTGTAGTTGAATGTTGACTACCTCCAGACTGATCATTGCAAGAATATGAAAAAATTAATAGTGGATAGAGGTACAAAGTTGTATAACCTTCTTGGTCTAGCATAATTTGTCGAATCCAGCACCTCGAATTGGCTTCGAGGAGCGTGCTGATGCGAGTACACCACCGGTCGCTTTCATGCTCCAATGAACATCTGACATTTTCACGATCGGAGGCTGTTGTTGGTTATCGAACCCCAATCATTCGAACTTCGAATGGCAGAGAGCCTAATGGTGAATGGGCGGTGAACGCTGTTGAACAAATAACTTTACGTTCACATTTTGTTTCAACCCTTCCTGTCAACTCGTCCGAAGAGGAGCAGGTGTTAAGTAAGTGATCGGATCGCCAGTTTTTCTCGCAACATCAAAAACACGCCAAGCACTGAAGAGTGGTACTTCCAGCCTCCAGGAACTCAATTTCTGGGAGATCCTCATGGAAGTCAACAGAACGATATCAGTACTCCATGACAAGAGTTCACCATGAAGCTTCGTTGCTTCAACGCAGCGACATTCGTTTTCGGCGTAAAAACTACTTTCAACTGCACGGATCGTCGTAATCTGGCAATATCTGGCGACGAAGTGTCTCCCATAAATGCTTGTCCCTTATAAAGGTTCTGTATACCTACTCGCGCACACGTACGGATTTATAGCAACTTTCACATGGGTTCATCAGATCCAGTGGTGCCAGATCAGGTTGTCTTCTCTTGCCCATCCTTCTCAACTTCGTTATAAATGATATATTTGCTGGTCGAATCATTAGCTTCGCATGCCAGATGACCCTCCGCTCAGTCATGAATGATAACGACCCAGGGACTGCCAGTCCATTGCTTGGCAGTGAAGCATAGAAGCCTCTACCAGTCAACTGCCTTCTCTCCGAACAATACCCAGGAACTTCCACATATGCCAGTGATTAGCGGGAGACAGCCGTGTAATGCAACCATGGCGCTTTATCAGATGAAAAGTTTTCGTCAACCGACCTATTCGACTATCATATCGAATGCATGGATGCCATTCCTTTATTCTGCTGTCCCTGGACATACCGTACCACCTGGAGCCTCTGTATCGTAGAGCATGGTTCATACAACTGGAGCCAGCTAAGCCGTTAGGGTACAAGACTTAACTGGAAAATTCCAGGTTCAAATCCTAACATGGCTTTTCAATCGCTCCTGCCTGGGCTTGGAAGGTTTCACAATTTCTGAGCCCTCATATTTCCTTCGGGTTGCATGATAGCTGCGTATTGAAAAGGTGCCACTGCCGAACGCTTAAATGATGCATAGCTGAAATCTTGACTGGCCTGTCAACGAGCGTTGTTCCAGATTCGTTTGCTCCTGGCCTGCTAGAAAAATATGCTTGAGCTGGGGATTCATCAATACGTTCGGTCACTTGCCCTAAAGCAGCTTAAAAAACCCACCTTACACTGGTTTTGTTCGTCCCGAAGGGGACCAGGTTCCTCCAGTTTTTAATTGATGGAACTGATGTATAATAGCGGACGTTGTGGAAGAAATAACTCAGCTATGCCTAACCAGCTTCCCCATGTTCAGATGTTTGGCCTGTGGACCTATCTGCCGCCCACCTCGTTGCGCGAACAACTGATTGGACTGGCTTAATGAAAATCTTTCCAGAGTTACTCCTCAATTTAGTTTCGTAATCTGGACATCTTTCCTGTCGCTGAACCCAGAATAGTTGCAAAAAGTGGATTCATAAGGCTCTACGGGCCTCAGTGACTCTGGAAGTATTATGGAATCGCTTCGAGGCCTCGGGAGTCATGACATTTACCTGAAACTCCCGAAACTTATCTTGTATTTAAACTACCTTATTCGCGTGTCACAAACAAACGTCAAGCTTTTTTAAGCACTTGATACAAACAATCAGACAACCAAACAACCTGAAGACAGTTTTCGATGCTCACTTCATAGAAGATCATCAATAGAGAGCCGAGATTCTTCGGGAAAATATTCGTTCACGTACACCATTGAAACTTCGGTTCCAGTTTCCTCAAAACATCAACTGAGCCTGATGAACTTTGCCTGCTGACTTTGAACTTTTGGTTGACTTGATTGTCAGGGGTTTGGGTGACTTATGTAGACTTTCCTGAAGAAGTATTACTACCAGAAAACGAAGCTAGCTTACGTGAAACCGAACTAAGAAGCCGTGGAAAAGGATACTCATTCACTTGTCGTTCCGTTACAGTGTACTTTCGTCACGCGCGCAGAGCTTGTCATAATGGGAGGTACGCGATCTGGGTATCATGTTGGTTTTCGATGATAAGCTGGTTCACTCTGTTTGAATGATGCTGTCCTCTGAGCGGTAGTTGGAACGTTCGAGGAAGTTGGGACTACTGTTCTGCTTTCTTCACCAGCTTCTGAATCTATCGGTTTTGTTTGTTTATAGCTTATATGCCGATAATTGTTTACAACTTCAGGTTCTTTACCACTGCGTTCAGTGGTTCATATTTTGTTTGTTGTGTTTTTTACCGTTCTTTGTACAACAAACCTTTTTGTTTTAGCGCTGCACAATGCCTCCCATTCCACAAAATACCGAGAAATGGTTACAAAAAACCATCGACTCCGCAGCTATCATCCTGTTTAGCAAATCCAGATGCCCGTATTGTCATCGGGTAATCAGATCAATTTCGCCATAACTGTATTCTCAAGGTGAAAGAATTGTTGAAGGAGAACAAAATCAAGCACGCTACAATAGAACTGGACCAACGAGGTAGGTTTTGTTATTGTTTTGTGATTTTGCTCAGCTGATGGGTCTACCATTCAAAAGGCATTAAGTGAAAAGAGTGGAATTCATACTGTCCCTCAACTATTTGTCCGGGGAGTGTGTATTGGTGAGATTCTAAATTTCTTGATGATTGCTCCGTTCTTGTTCTAGGTGATTCTTCCAAAGTTGGCAAACTTCATGAAGATAACAAGTTGTTAGAGACTGTTCAATTGAACAAATATGACTACGATCTCGTGGTGATCGGTGGAGGTTCTGGGGGTCTAGCTGCGTCAAAGGTTAGTTGCGCAAGCTACATTCCTTCTGTTTTTTTGTGACATCGTGTTGCCTACTGTTGTCAAATTAAGCACATCCTTCTTGGCACAGTCATCCCATTCGTTACAATTTCTTCCTGCATAACTGCTTGGGGACCTTTATAGTGCTTCCATTCCTGTTTGTTGCTTCATGTCAGAATTTGTTCATTTGTTTAGGAAGCCGCCAAATTTGGTGCAAAGACTGCCGTTCTAGATTTTGTGAAACCAACGCCAAAGAATACTGTTTGGGGCCTTGGAGGAACATGTGTCAATGTAGGCTGTATTCCGAAAAAACTGATGCATCAGGCTGCACTACTCGGTAGGTACACCGTTTTTCGGTCTTATCCTTTACATCTAATAAATGATTTATTCAAGGCGGAATTCCCATGTGGTTGTCCCGCTTTTTAAAAAATACTGATTTTTTCACGATTCATCGTTAGGTCAATACATGTATTGAGTCCTTAAGATAACTGATGGCCTAAAAGGCTTAGTTTGTTAGGTGAATTAAAAAACCCCTCTTCTGAACTTGTACCTTCTGTTCTTTCTCCAACTCTTGCAACTCGAGTTTTCACCTACAGCTACCCCTTCCGGGTAAAAGTTACCGGTCTCCATACAGAATGCTTCTCTTCATTTGTATTCAGGATCGCACCTCTTTTTGTGTTCCCAACCTCGACACTCGGGATGCTCCTGATTCGGGATTATCCCACTGACTACCACCTTGTGAAATAAGGTTCCGAGGGCAAGAATCTCGGGTAGACTCAGCCATCCGTTTCGAAACTAAAAGCTCAGAAGATTGTACGTGCACAACCACTAACCCACCGCTAGGCACCACTACGCTCCCCAACAACGCACTGATGTTGCCACTTCGATTGGTGGTGAAGCTTCTGCAATCAAATTGCCCAGCAGCGAACAAACAGTAAACCTATGACCAGGTCGATCTACATACATAGCAACACCTAGGTAGATAGCAGCCAGTACAGTGAAATAATATCGGTTGCCCGCTAGCCCGACCAACGACGTACAGGTAACGTAGAGATGTTGACGTAATTCATCTTGGACTAGAATAAAAACAGTCAGTCAGGACTACAGGAAAACAAAGGGGTGAGGACGAGGTTTTCTTCAATGTTCGAATGGTTTAAATAGGTACGCAGACTGCTGATTGAGGTATTACAGCTGCACAAGGTTATGAACCTAGGTTAGATTTTGAGTCTTTTACCGATAGCATTAACCTCGTGTATATCCTTCTCGATATCGTATTGTTTTTTTCTCCCTTAGGCTGCATTTATCATCATTACCAGTCTCTGACTATGGATCCCCTTTCCGTTAGTAACAGAAATAAGTAGAAAAAATACGCGCCGTCTGTGGCCACACGCAGCGCCGTTCCCCATTTCCATCTAGTGCTTTCAGGTAAAGGCTGCCGTCGTTCTTCGGAATGTATACACAAGCTGAGTCGGTATTGATCAGTCGACATGGCTTCACTGAAAACCAACAGTTTTGATCTGACACTGAGTAGCGAAATTCTAAACGCTGTACTCGAATCAACTCTGTGTCCAGTGACTAGAATGTGTCAAGGGATCGATGGTGTAGGTTTTCAGGTCTCAGTTTGCAGGTCTTCTGTCGATTGATTAGTCACCTGACTAAAACAACTTGGCAGAGTCAAATGTTCTGTCAGTGTATGTTTCACCGCAACTGAATGTGAACTGGTACCATCCCAGCTCTTCTGCATCCCTCGGGTTGCATTGTGGCTGTACACCGACAGGGTGTCAAAGCCAAGCGACTATAAGACCGGCCGATATTTTGAAATTAACCCTTTGTTTGTGAGTTATGTTGGCCATAGACAAGTTTGTGAGTCGATTACAAGGTCTTTCACGGTCCCGCTTCCTTCTGTACTGCCGAAACAACCGGGCATAAACAACTTTTTTATGAGTCCTTTTGTATCCCTTTGTGAGTTCGGACCCTGCTCCGGCATCTCAACCGGTCGTGCCTGAGCCTGGACAACCTGGCAGTATTTCAACCCTCGTAATTCCCCCGGGTGTAATGGAAGTTAGGCACCGAAAGAGTGCTACAGCTGAACTATCAGTAGCTGCCCCTTGACTGCGATCGCCTGCCAGAGCTTTCCATTCAGATATCGCCACCGACTTTCCAAATCCTCATAGAGCGTTTTATTTAGATAATTCATTAATGGGAGTCACAGTCAAAGATCAGCTTCAAACACCGTTTTCCTCTAAAGAAGTGTTTCCCTGTGGGCTTGTCTACATTGTCATTTTCATAACTTGCTCTGTGAATGGATTACGAAATAATTTTTAGTTTGAAAACACCCTGATGGCAGCTCAGAAATACCGTCATCGTTAATTACCATTGACACCAACGCCAGCTGGGGACACTGATCCTTTGGCCGTTTCTAGTGATAACGTAGATCCTTCACTTACTTGTTTTTTTAATGTCCTACTCGGCGTACAAGAAACAGTTGAAAAAACTTGAGCGAGACATCCATCTGGGAATGGCATGTCTCTTGGTGGTGAATAAATTTCAGTTTGACCAAACCTTTTTTCCCATACTGCTTTATGGATCAGGGACGTGGCCTACACGCGCAGAAGACATACGAAAGATGTCAGTTTTTGATGATTGGTGTCTCCGAAGCATTGGTCAGGTTCGGTGGTCGCATTGGATTAGTAATGCTGAGGTACGCCAGATTGTCTTAGAAAGAAGGAACTCTGTCGCGATAGATGAATTACTCACGCTTCATAGGCTGCGCTGGTTAGGACACGTACTTCGCGTGCCAGAAAACCGTCTGCCTTGCAGAGCTCATTTCGCCCAGCCGTGTCCTGACTGGAAGCGACCCATAGGTAGACAGTGTATGACCCGGCAACGAAGTACGGAAACACTAACGAGTAAACTTAGTCGGGTCGGCGACCACAGCTTCCTTGGATGGGGATCACGGGACTCATCGCACGAATTGTTGATGACACTGGCAGAAATGGCCCGATCGCGCAGCCAGTGGCGCTCGTTCATCAAGGCTGTCACCTTCAATGCATAGTTATCCGATTCCCGAACTAACTGAACATACCATCGCCTCTGATGCTTGGTTGCATGTCCCACATTGTCCCGTTTTCCAATAATCGAAACTCTAGCAGCGGGAACCAACGTACCTATGTTACTTGGTTTATAACTGATAAATTGATTGGCTGATTAGTTTATAATTGATTTTAATTAGTACCTAACTTAACGATCCCCAGACGATGTAGCAGTCCAAGGGATGAGGTATTCGACCAATGACCATTTTTAAATTAGGATCTGCCTTTCATTATTTTCAGGAGAGGAGAGTATATCCATGGCATCCACTTCAGTCGCACACGCTGAGCGTCCATGTAATACTTGTCATACTTGTGGACCGTGACGACCCAACCGTTTAATCTGATTTCTCTATTGTATTTTTAGGTTACAGTCTGGACGATTCTGAAAAGTTCGGCTGGGACGTTAAGAAGGATGAAGGTAAGTTGGTTTGCTTCGGAAGCGACTTTCTTAGGTAACTTCGGACAGAGGATTTCTTACAAATATCCTATTAATTGTCGGAATCACCCTAGTATGTCACGTAGAACTTGCGATTTACCACGGTAAAACGATAAGCTCGAATGATAGTACAGTCATCCCCTTCAGAGAGGTACATGTGCTCCGGCAAACGGTAACCTTCATTCCAGCATTCTTACTACTGAGTCTTTGTAATGATAAATATCTCGGCATGATAGGATGCTCAATCGAAAACCAACGAATACAAGTAGAGTGCACCACAGTTTGTTACGAATTATCCAACTTGTCCAAATGTAACCAGTGTCGTCTGAGCGAACTGTAGCAGCAATAACTACAGAATTTTCGTTCAGTAACGAACACTGAATGAAGAATATATTCACATCAGACCAGGCTTTGGTGAGGCGTTGGTAAGTTGGCGAACGGCAGTGATTTTCATTGGAACTGGGTTTCGCGGTTAGTGACAAACTCTTGTTCTCACAAAAAACAGCAGAGTCGAGGTAAACTTTGATTCCGCATCTTTTAATGTGACCAGCTGTAGCTTCAAACTTTTTTTCCGTTTTGTGAGTCCTGATCATCCATTCAACCACTAATGACCTCTCATTCAATGGGTAGGAGTACAACATCAGGTAATGAAGTGCCTTGGCGCAATTAGGTTACAACAGGAGTGTGTTAATCGCGGAAGTGTACCTTGGATGCTCGTAGGGAACAATTAGCTTAGCTTGTATGTGACGGCTATTGGACTGAAAACAGTTAATACTAAGATGAAGCGAAGCATTGCACTAGCCGTTGATGCCATCCAGTGCACTCGCAATTCGCACGCGTTTTTGTGAAACAATGCAAACAAGCGTGATTCAACCAAGAAAACCAACTTCTGCCTGGAAGGAATCTCCATCAGGCAAAACGAATGTGATTAGTCCCAAAGTTTCTACTTTAAGGCTGTCTAGATCAGATGTCTGTGTGAATTTCATACTCGGGAATCATTTGGCTAAAGATAGCTCTTTTGACATTAAATTTGGGCCGAATATGGACTCGAGAGCTCGCAAACGTTACGGCAGTGAAGCATCAGTGCCAACACTGATGTTGCTGTCTTTGATGATGATGAATTTAGGGATATCTGGTTGGACTGTACTGCAGAGTACTACAAAGAACCGGAATCACGAGTGTCCCTGAAGCATTGTACGTCATTGATGGTATTGTCGCACAAGTAATGTCGACGTACATTGAATGATTTTTTCAGAACGAATTTATCATGATGGCTGGATTGGCTTATGGTGATTAGGTCAAGGAAGATCTGTGATCAAGCCGATTTGTGGACACCGCTGTTCTCCATGTTGGGTAACCACCTTCCCAGGATGATGTCTTTTCTAGGGCTTCTAAAATGAAACTTTTTCACAGGTGGTGTGGCTCTCTTTTTGAGTGGTCTTTTGGACTAAAAGCCAAACGTCATCGATGTGTCACCCAAGAGCAGAAAACATACCTTGTCGGGAAAGGATGCCCGTCAGTCAAATACGCTTATCTCCTATGATGGATTGTATGCTGTGAATTCTACTTTTTCCCCAGTTAATTTCACCGTCTAGTTTAAGTCGTAACTTGGTTGTTCACGCACGGAATGTTTCTTCTCTTCTAGTCAAGCACGACTGGGGGAAAATGGTTGAGGCCATCCAGAATCACATCCACTCTTTGAATTGGGGCTATCGAGTTGTTCTTCGTGAGAATGCAGTAGATTACCTGAACGCTTATGGGGAAATAATCGATGCCCACACAATAAAGGTATGTCGTGCGTCCAATCATTCACTTATTTTGTCCTATTGCGTCTCGAAGGCGTAACCCGTTTTCCCATAGCAAAGATGGCATCCTTATTAAAAGGACTCTTCTGGGCCGATGTGTAAACACTTTCTGGTTCCTTGAATGGCTGATTTACTCCCCAAATGGAACCGCCGCATTGAGAATGCCCTATATTACCTAGCCAAATTTGCTGCTTCGATCATCGCCGAAAAAACGCACATGAGCACAGCCAAAACAGTAACTAGTCACATCAACGAACTCTAGTGTGCTTAATTTGGTTTGGTTTAGTCGGTAAGTTGGCGTTAAATACTCATGCAGCACTGTTCGTTGAAACGCCTCACAGTTGCAGCGTCCGTTGAAGATAATGTACCCGAAGGAGAGGTTGGGATAAGGCGAGTTACCGTGATTTGTACTGTCAAATAAAAATACCTTATCATCGCAAATTATCTAGTTCGGGGGTTCATGTTTAAGTTTACATAGATGAAAATTGTTGGTAGTGACATCGACAACTAGGGCTGATGACCACCATAAGGGTTAAAAATGGTGCGCCACTATATGTCAATCTTGACCCAAAATGAACTGAAAATACTACTCTACCCTAAAAAAAAGCACTTCAACTTAATGTGTAAAATCGAAATCTTACTACTGCTCTGTAAAAAGCGCGTTACGTCCGTGCTGGTTATGAAGTAACACCTCCTTATTTTACGTTGCTTCATACATCTGCTGCTTGAGGATCAGCCGGCTCTTTGATTGATTATGACCGTGACTATCCATGTTGACAAGACCTTCACAAACGTCGAAAAACATTTCGGGACTTCGTGGTCTTTTCCAGAGGTAACATTGTGTGGTCAGCACTTCTGTCGTTTTATGTGACAGTCCTCTTCGCGATCTCACAAAGACTGTTATGCGAGCGGCATTCGATAGAAAACCCGTACTGAGTGATTTGACTAGCTGCTTTGCATCGTGGGCATTCACACCTCATAGGGCTCCGTTCGATGTCACGGAGCTCGTGGATCTTCGTGGTTGTTTAATTGCCTGGGATTAATTCAGGATTTCTCTGAAACGTTTTCCAGGTAATAACTACGTGGGATTGCTAGCTGTTTCGCAGGCACTCTTATAGCATCATATGTGGCTGCTTGTCTTATGCGTCTCCATCTGTAATGAGGACACCGTGTGCATCATCTGCATATTATGTACTGCTTTCCTCATACATATTCAGGAATTCCGTTGAAAAACCATATCCGGATCTTTTTGTCTCAAAATTTCTCATCCGTTTGAATCTATAGATCACGAAAAAGAGCGGGGAAACGTCCACAATCACAACCAACAAGATGATTCTGGCAATGGGTGAAAGACCACGATATCCTGACATACCTGGAGACAAGGAATATGGCATTACCAGGTGATCTTATGAGTTGTTACTGCTCGCCATTACTCAGTATCTAATTAAAAAGGTCGAATTTTATCACGGTCCGTCGTACACTATTTCGTCACTGTTTGACAGTACTGCTTACGTGTACTTACGATGACTTTCTCTTGACGGATGATCCGAATCGCTGGTGTATTTGAATGATGATTGACCACAAGCTTCTCAAGAAACGACAGTAAACTTACGATACCACTGCTTATTTCCATCTGACACTTCAGAGCAAGTTTTACTGCAATTTATGAAACGCTCACATGTCCTGCTTCATGACAGATATCGCCTTACTGTTTCAGCTGGATATCTAAGGTGGTGGGCAAGTATCAGGTAATGAGCTGGATTCGCTAGAGCAGCAGAGCAATATTGTCCACTCCAAACGTTATCGAAAAGCTCGCAGAGTCCAGGCCATTACATGGAAAACTGAACTCTGTAGGATCTTTGCACCTCCCTGTTTGGGGCCCACATGGTTCTTTCTGAGTATGAATGGATATCCTTCAGGACATAACGCCTAGCCGAGCCCACTGACGAGCTTTCTGATGTTTGTTTACCACTGTTTAGTGAAAGCAGTTGTGCCAAGTCTTTGTCGAGTGAGGTTCACGAAGGATGCCGGATCAATCCTGTCAATAGCGTCTTGTTGCGATCCGATGCTCAGATGGGTTTATTTCAATGGCTTTGGAAGGTTCGTGTACCGTGCTCTTGATTACTTTCCCTAGGGACGTAGAACTGCTCGTAATAATCCCTCTTCCTTTGTTGCTTTATCTTCACTCCTTACTCGTGCATTCTTTCCTCAAACACAGATTTTCAATGCTGATGTACTGCTATACATAATGATGACGCCAATATAGCTCATACTGCACCAGGATTTTTTGTTGCTGTTTACTTCATGGACAACAATTGGCTTTTTGTGTTTGCGATCCCCACCTGTTAAAAAACATGATCGGATCGGACTTCGGCTACAAATGGCTGCACGATTTGACCCTGTAGGGTGAAATCTGGAACTTGGTGTCTGTTTACGTCCCAGTTGCCTCAACTTATACCTGTTGACAGCAATTGTAGAACCGTGATTGAGTTATTTTTGTCCGGGGGAGAGATGGTTCAGTGGTTAGAGCGCGAATTTACTGACAGGACGGTCTGTGGTTCGAACCCGACCTCTGCCTCTCGACTTCTCCCGTGTAGGCTTGGGCAACCTGGTAGTATCCCATCCCTCGTGCTTCCGTATGATGGCATGGCATTTAGGCGCCAAATGGGTTCTACAGCTGAATGATTTATTTTTGCCCGAGATATGTTACACACCAACTTAATTTTCTTCGACCGTAACTCATGGAAATGAATTCCTTGCACTTTGGGTAACCACATTTTTTTTTATTATGGGTTCTCATTTTTAGTAGGGCAGCACTGATCCAAGAATCGGCGGAAATACTGGCGACATATTATCAAATTTCTTTATGATGTTCACTGAGTGCAAATTTTTGTGATGGCTTTCCGCTGGTCGTTTTGATGCGCTCGTCAACAGCGATTTGTCCGGAAAACTATCCCGGACAAACTTCCTGTATGGTGGCATGGCATTTAGGCGCCAAATGGGTTCTACAGCTGAATGATTTATTTTTGCCCGAGATATGTTACACACCAACTTAATTTTCTTCGACCGTAACTCATGGAAATGAATTCCTTGCACTTTGGGTAACCACATTTTTTTTTATTATGGGTTCTCATTTTTAGTAGGGCAGCACTGATCCAAGAATCGGCGGAAATACTGGCGACATATTATCAAATTTCTTTATGATGTTCACTGAGTGCAAATTTTTGTGATGGCTTTCCGCTGGTCGTTTTGATGCGCTCGTCAACAGCGATTTGTCCGGAAAACTATCCCGGACAAACTTCCTTTCCATTTTCTTTACTTTCTCTCCAAAGTGTACATCTTGGATCTGAAATCCAAACAAAAAAAACCTGGTATGACACGTAATCCGAACAGTCACATTCTCAAACCCGATTAGTGACTCGTAAAGATACCTGAATGATGGTAACGGTACCTCATTTCCATGAACATGTCATCAACTTTGCGTTGAATTAACTGGCAGGAGTGGATACTGTCTCAGAATTAGCGTTCGATACCTGAGAACTGTTGACCAATTTGGAAAATTACAACGCCTTCGACCGCACTAGGGATTTATCCAAACCACTCACGAATACCTGTTGTCTCCAAAACCTCTGCGATCTCAGGATCAGTGCCGACTTTCTTCGTCGTCTTTTTGCTCTGAAGGTTCTCCTTCTCCCTGTTTCTCCTGACATCAAGTGATAGCTTCTAGTTTGTCGTATGCAAATAGTGTTTATTCCCTTTTCATCCTTAGATAATCTCCAGGCATTTTTAAGCCATGGTTCAAGGCTGCATATAATCATGGTGCTATTCTGTATGATTTCACGATGATCTCACTGTCATTTTGTGTCGTTTTCTTTTCAGTGACGACTTGTTTTCTCTACCTTACAACCCGGGAAAGACATTAGTCGTTGGCGCCAGTTATGTGGCCCTGGAATGTGCCGGATTTCTGACCAGTTTTGGCTATGACACGACGGTGATGGTGCGCTCCATTTTACTTCGAGGATTTGACCAACAAATGGCCGAGATGATCGGTGAATATATGCAGAAACACGGCACCAAATTCATTCGTCCCTGTGTACCTACTTCGGTAAGTCGTTTCTCTTAATTTTTGATATATTTCTGTTCAATTTCTCGCATTTCACTGATTGTTCGACCACTATACGTTAAACCTCATACACTAAGCAGTACAATTCGACTGGATTGATTCACACTCCTTTGCCCCGCCAACACCGATCGATGCTATCCACACCGAGTTCTTACGGTGATTTCCGCTCAAACGCCTAATCTATGAAAGCGAGGACACAGTTGGTTTGAGGTTGCTATAACGTCATCTAGACCGACTGACTTCTACATAATTTGTACTCGTTAGTCCACGAAGCCGATTGTGAATCAGTCAAACCTCTGTTGAATCCCGTTTTCAGAGCAGACCGTGATTTTAACAAAATTAAGGATCCGCGTTGGTTTGTGACCTCTAGATGTATGGCCTCTAGAACGGCCAAAAGATCACCATCATCGACAGCATGACATCAGTGTTCAACACCGATGCCTCACTGCCGTGAACAACGTTTGAAGGAACACAAATCCTGTGCATTTTACTGAGAAATTTCTGCTTTCATTTTGAAATGAGTGGCCAACCTACGGCGATCCAGTATACGCGTGCACTAATGTTTCATAAAATCATATAAACTCATGCGCGAGAACGTCCTTCTTTTGCAGCATCCTTCATCATCGTCATCGACAGCGTGAAATTAATGTTCAACTACGATGCTTCGCTGCCGTACAACCATGATATATTTGAAATCCATATTGAGAAGAAAAGAATAAAGGTGGTTGGAGAATGTACTAGCTTGCTACAATCATTCCGAGATGCCTACACCTCCTTCACGTTGGTGTTGGTTAGTTTGTGACTAAAAACTGAGCCTCCTAAAAAAGAATGCTTGGGAGGAAATAATCACATTCTCTGGTCCTTTGGGTGGTTTTCCTCTAGGTGTCCCATTGTATTTGTTTTTTCTTATCTTGGCAACTTGTGTTAGTTCATATGCATGTGCAACAAAGTACTCGCTTTAGACGGTAATAGCCAAAGCCCTCGATGGTGAACTATCTATCTTTCAATATTCGATCCATGGTAGAACTGATGCGACTAACTAACTGATGTACCAACTGGCCTGCTGTTGAAGAAGGTTTTCTCATATGTTCTAACTCACCCACTGGGTTGTTCGGATCTAACAACGGCGAACTCTTTCAAAACTAATCATTGTCATGTTTCGAATAGCGGAGTTTCTCCTACATCAAAGTTTTCACAAGTAACCAAAGTTGAGTTTTGCGATAGGGTTTCCGTGTGTTCTCGAACAAAGCCATATCATTCAGCTGTAGCACTCTTCCATCACCTAGCTACCGTGCAGTCCAAAACAGGCCTTAGCACTGAGCCAACGTCAAGTTGTGTAAGCCTAGGGATGAACGAGTATTCTCTGAAGGGAATGTAGACACTGGTTCAGTTTGTCTTATTTGACGTCACGTGAAGAAAAATATGCTACCAATCGTTTAAGTGCTAATAGATAGGCAGTTACTAGCCTCTCATTACAATTGTTGTTGATGCACCAAACTCTTTCCGACCTATACCACCGAAATTAGGTGTGACAGGAGACTCCGGTTGTCAATTCTCTGTCCTTCATTCCTCATAGATCAGCCAAGTAGAGCCAGCGGACTTGGAGAAAGGCAAGACCGGTCGTTACCGAGTGACTGCGAAGTATAGTGACGGTAAACCGTTCTCAGAGGAGTACAATACGGTGAGTCCTGTTGTTTCGTTCTTCGTATCCGGTTGTACCAGTCAGGCCATATATTAACTTCCGGTAATTCATGTGACATACACAACACCAAAGTCTGTATATTATATACTTCAGGTTTGGTACTGCCTATCTAGTGTGATGAATTCAAAATACATTCTGACAGTCATTTTTGTGCGTGCATACCATCGCTGTTGTATCCTGTTGTGAGAGATACCCGCTTTACTAGGTTAGCTGGACGTCATTTTTTCATCAACGGTATGCTGCTCTCGATTATGAGCTCCAAAAAGCCAAGATTTGGATTCCCAACCGACAATTTGTGTTTCCAATTATTTTTGCACCTATTCCCAAATCGGCCGATTTGATTAATCAACTGTACTGAATCTAATCCGAATGCATAAGCGAACAACCAACAACGTGCCCCATTTTACTGTAGCTGGCGATTAAACAAATATCCAAGAGAGCTAATCAGTGAGGCGACTTGCGTAGGTTGCATCACCGCGTTTCCAGCGTTGGATATCCTGTGTTAGGTTCTTCACTTACTTGAAGCTCTAGCCTACCTTTAGCCACGTTCGAGACTGAAGGTTAACACCGATCCAGCTTTCAAGACTTCACTAGTTCATTTGCGAACCCCGCTTCCATACATCATTCCCAAATCTTTGATTTGTTTCTGAGCAGTTTGACTGCGTCCTGAGTATACCTTAATCCAATTATGGGAAATTGTCGTTTTGCTACTGAGACGAGTTATGTCATAACTTAACCCATAACATCTAAGGTGTACATGTTCCCCATAAATCATGCAAGTGGATCACCTTTCGTACTGTACTGCGTTGAGCTTGTTATTATCAAATTGCTGGTCTAGGAATTACCGACAAAAATTGTTCCTTGCGTTTCGGGCGACACGTTCTACATTCCCACTTTTCCAACTTGAATTTCCACATCTGACTATCCCCCGTTGGTTAAGCTTGTACTTGGTTGCAGCCTTTAATCAATTTAAAGTCTGAAACTATTACATTTTAAGATTTGAAATTATAATATATCTTAGTCTCTGTCACACCCTAGTTGTGCAAAAGTGAACAAGACAGACAAATCAAACTGATTGCGTCCTCCAATTCTTACGACATTTAGGAGAACGAAACAGCGAAACTTAGAAAACTGATAGACGATGATGAACAGGCTGGTCTACTTAAGCGACGTTTTCATGCTGGGCACGGGCCAGGTGACCTGATCCGGCCAGAGCACGTGAGCATGTGCCTTCTTTCGAATTATTGCTACGTTTCTGGCACACCAAAACGATCATCTTGTTTCACACGTGACATCATCCTGACTGTATGTTGTTTTTGCTTGTTTGCATCGATTCAGTTTGTCAGCTGCCAGTGATGTACGTTGCTTATTCTAAATGGTTCGCAGCTTTGAAGGACCCGAACCAAGGAGGTTAATATCGTAAGCGTGCTCGATGTCCCTGAGCAATCCCCTGGGAGCACTTCGATCTCCCAGGTTTCAGAGGCAGGAATTGAAATCTCGAGCAGCAGGTCAATGACAAAAGTAAGGAGAATGGTGAGAGAGTACAGCCCCGTTTTGCACCAGTGAGTGTGATGAACTTCCTGTATGTTTGCATCCGCCTACAGAAGTTTATATACAATGCCCTTATGAGCGAAGTTAATTTAGAAGGGACACCTCTAATCACCAGGTCCCGTCAAAGCTCCTGATGATCGGGAAATGATCAGGAAAAACGATCAGTGTTTGGGACGTTTGAAAGAGCGGCTGTGTCCATGTCCGAGGCGAAACCCAGGTTTATTCTCAGAAGTTTGTCTCTCTCGATAATCAATCGACCTACACAATTCCGGACAGTATCTTGGATGCCGCGACTACAAGACGAATGCTTAATTGGTTTTCACGTGACTTTCTTCTGCTCTTTTTGAAGGCTGGCGCTGTATTCCACTGCTATTGTTTTCTTTCCAAATCTTCCACGGCACGATAGTCAGACTGTCTGTCGGAGCCTCACCGCCTATGGAGAGTGCTTAATACAGGTCATCCTGGCCTTGTCGCGTTGGAGGAATATCTCGCGCTGAGTTTCTGTTGTTGATGGCTGGATGGTGTCAATGTTCCGTTCGGGATTGTTGGATTTCTCCAGAGGTTGTGTTGAAGGAGGACAGGGTTCAGCCTCTCGTCCAGCACGATGACTTTGCGAATGAATTGTCGTTCCGTCTTCTTCGCAACTGTCCTTTTTGGCCGGTTATCGATGAAACAGGCCGTGGCCGTTGCGTGCGGTGAGAGCGTCCTCCATTTCGTGAACCTTCGCAATTCTCCAACATTCTCTGTCATTTTTCAGACTATTGACTATCCGACATTAAAGGGATCCGCGTGCGTCACCATAGTCACCAGTTGTCAGTGTTTTGGTAGCAGTAAGATTTGTTTATCTCAACGTTATTCAGTGTTCAGTTGGTCGACTTCAACTGAAGAAACCGGTGGAAAGCTAGCTTTCTTAGACGTTCTTATCGTGAGACTGCCAAACGGGCAATTGTAAACAGAAGTATATGGAAAGTCGGCGCACACATCAACCTCGCAGATGCCATGAAATCATCCGAACTGTCGCAAACAAGGCTGCCTAAAGACTGTTTGCAAACGTATTGAGAGATATTGAAAAACCGGGATAACGACCAGCCTCACTCAAGAAAAAAGACAGAAATGGAAGACGGACTAATCGGGAAGCGGACCCCAGTTCCCAATAGGGAGCACCCAACAAACCAATGGAATCGGAGATATGCAAATGGCAAACGGGTGAATAAGGTTACGAGAAGGGTATATATCAGTTGGCCACTTGCAGGAAAGGCTAATGGGTACTCGTCGAAAACTGCATAAACGCAGGCGGCCAAGGAACTATTGCTCACTGACAATATCTCCTCCAATGGGGTCCAAATGTTTCCAGGCTAGCTGCCGCGCTCGGCGAACAGGTCAATGGTCTTGCCTTTTTCTTTCATTCGGCTCGCAGTGAACTGACTAAAATCCCAATGCTTTTGCACGTGCGAATCGAACATTCCGACAAGAGTTCCTGGTTTTCAGCCCCATCTTATGCACACAAAAAAAAGCTTGAGTAGAATTGATGTGTCCATGGATGCTGCTACCATAGTTTGTGCAATTTATTAATGATCAACCGTCTAAACACTCTTTTTTATGCTCATGCTTTATGTCTGAAATCTGATCAACTTTTATTGCAAATTCAAGTTTTGTTAGTGCCAAACGTAACATCATTGACATACGTGCAGCTGTGTGAGTCGTCGACTGTCGTTCACAAACTTTGAATGACGGTTAGCCTCTGTGTGACTGTCTCAGAGGAAATTGTTCATCCTGCCGAATAACGTTTTCTCCATACGTTCCCATAAGACCTCCCAGTGGATGGGGAGTTGCCCACTCACACGAATTCGTTTAAGGAATCATTGTACAAATGTGGGTCGATCTAAAATCTCACTTCAGTAACGATCCGGCAATTTCGCATTAAAAGCGATCTGATGTTTCAGCAAATAATCGCTGTCTATTTAATAGGTTTTGTCGGAATATGGTGAAATTTTTCACCCGACCATTCGGTAATGATTTATCAAGTTGATGGTTTCCGTGTAAACTAATCACTGGACTGTTCACCTTTCTCTCCTAGATAATTTTTGCAATCGGCCGAGATCCTTGCGTTGACGCAGAAACCATGAAACGGCTTGGAATCAAGTTAGATAAGTAAGCACCAATTGAAGTAAATTGCATAGTGTAAACGTGGTGCTTGGTTTTTACTGTGAAATCTGACTAGCACAGTACATTTTAATGACAGACTTCGGAATTGCTGAATAACCAACCTGAATAGAGGGATGGATGACAACTCCTAGACTAAGTGGCATTTACGGTTGAGACGTTCCTCCAAAAACCACATACCCACTACCATTCATTCACTCTGCGACAAAATTATTGGACCACCAGTGATTTTCATCTCATTTGGATGGAACTGCGCCATTTCAAGTTCATGTGCGGGATGTAGATCTTCGAAAGCAGAAAATCCAGCCACGCTGCTGTTATGCATGGTTCGCTTATTGGTTCTCATCTTGTGAAACAATCCACTGGGATGAGGTGCCGTGCTTTTCTTTCCGAGTACGGTGCACACAGAACACTTACATAAGAGTAGAGGAGTCAGTGGACAGAAAAATCGAAGTATGGCACACCGGTAAATATCTGTTATCCCAATACGGCCGCATGGAACTCAAAGATTGTTCATCTGTCGCGGAACAAGACAAGAAAGTATGTCCTCGCTGTATCAACCGATGATGTGCACAGATCATTTAGTTGCTAGATCGATATCTTACTGATGTGTTCTCAAAGCAGCGACGAATGTACGTCCATATAGGTGGAAAATGTGTATCTGTGTCGGACAAGGCGGAAACACTAAGATGCATGCCTGAACAGCATGATGATCTTGGTGAGCCTCAGTGTTGTGGATTAGGTGTTTACTGTGTTTTGTCATCGTTTAAGCCGTCGCACTTACTTTGTCTGCAATGGTAAAATAGTCGCGTGACCACATCGGTTACCAGAATGACGATCGAGATAGTTGGACATGTTGTATAATTTGGTCTGTCCACCTGATCCAGAAACATTGAAGTACGCGGTGAAGAATTCAGGGTAAAACGTGAGGACACTACTGTTTGTAGCGAAGATGTTCAAACATGAGTGTAGTGGAGCATACGCGGACATACACGATTATATTCAGGCAGTCAGCGTACAAGATAATGTAATCTGGTTGTACGAAGTTCTGTCTCATTGTTGTCTCATTGTTGATTTTGACGTTTTTACTTAGAATTAGATCGTAAGGAAGATCCTCATGAGTACCATATTAGCAATAAAAGAAAACACATTGTGTAGGATGTTACCATTTTGATTGTTATTGAGAACTTCCTCACGACGAATAAACGTACGAGTCACTATTAGAAATTCACAATCGAAATTCTAACTGGAAGGTGAACAATTTACACTCGGTCATGTTGCGGCGAGATGGCTCAGTGGTTAGAGCGCGAAGTTACTGACCACAAGGTCCGTGATTCCAACCTGATCTCTGCATTTCGGCCGCTGCTGTCTAGGCTTGGGCAACTTGGCAGTATCCCAGCCCTCGTGCTTCCTTCTGGTGGCTTGGAAGTTAGGCACCGAAAGAGTGCTACAGCTAAACGATTTTTTAATTTTTTTCATGTGGACCATGGAGCCTGTAACTTGCCACCCAGGTGTTTCTGCAAACAAATGTTCGGCTGTGTGATTAACAATTTTTCAAGCAAAGGGAGTCGTATTTATCGATTTTAAAACGTGAGGTGACAATCTGGTCGTAACCGTTGATAAGGTATCTGGCGACTAAAAAGCAAAAGTCCAGCCAAAAGTAGAATGATGTCTATTGAAATAGTTCGTGGTGTACTTCGAAAAGCGTGCTTTTACTCATATCTCATGTCTCATTCCAGATGTCACCTGTACGGCGCTGTTGTTGGGCGAGTTTTAGAAAAAGCGAACCTGTGTTGATGGTGGCTCAGTAGTTGACGTACTCGTATACACGCGTGCTACATCACACCAGTTACTACCACAGGGGAGCCCATTTTGGGCTGAAAACGTGCCTAGTCAATGATAATACGTCTAACAGCAGCATAGGCACTTCGCCAAACGGACGTCGCAAATCTTTTCCTCTTAAAAATGTTCAACTACCCTTCCAAAGGGTCGATAGCAGGTATCTTGATGGATGGCCCCGAACATACGGAACGTCGCATCTGGGATGATGTTAAGCTAGTGAGGGAGGGACGGTCACGTTTTCGGTCTCACTAGACCACTCGCTGCCGTCCTCATTGAAAGCAGAGTTGGGAATAACGGGATGTGAGAGCTGTTACTGCTAGGTGACTCTATTGGATGCTCATTGGGTTGAAACGGTGCGTCCAAAGGAATTTCCCAAATTGGCTTTACATAGGATATTTCCGGTGTGCCGTCTAACTATTCAGGTGTCAGTTCTTCTCGTAAATGCGGGCTCTTGGAGTGAAGGGATGTTATTGTTCCATACCATCTCTCCATGTGGCGCTTTCTTGTAAAATTACATTTTGTCGACCACATTGCCCCCGGTAGCAAGCGCACACTGGCTCTGAAGTATGGATGCAGAATGTTATTCATACTTATAAATGTTTTGAGACGATGTGATTGGAGAATATCAACTTCTCCCTCATGCTACATGAATGTGTAGGTGGGTGTTCCTGCAGTTTTCCTGTCCCATTTCTCGTTTGTTCATGTTTTTGTTCCAGTTAGTCAAAATAATGTGGTAACCTGTGCGATGGGATCTCTCACTTGCTGACCAAAAATCGTTCAATTCCATACATTTGGATATGCATTAAGTTCGCTGGTTGGCTACTTGTATTAATTTGTTTGTCTCTTGAACTCTTTTTAATGTTTTATTGAAGCGCGTAACGTACCTCTCACCCTAGTTACTTGTCTTCTGTAAATTCAGGGCGAATCGTGTAATTTGCGAAGACGATGAGCAGACTAGTGTGGACAATATTTACGCCATTGGTGATATCAATGCTGGCAAACCTCAACTCACACCCGTAGCTATCCAGGCGGGCCGCTATCTTGCCCGCCGATTGTTCGCTGGTTCCACGGAATTGGTGAGTTTAAATTCCTCTCAGATGTTCGCTCCAACATTTGAGCACACTTCACAGTTGAGCTTGTGAATCGGGGTAAAAATGCATGCTGACCTTGTATTAATCTACTTGTTTCACGTTTTCCGCCATATTCCCACTTGTCAGTTTTAGTACTTATGTAATTAACGCTCGAACGGTATGGTCATTAATTCGATTATCGAGTTTTATCAAGGCCAGTGAAGCTTTTGAAGGAATTATTTCTAGTAGATCTGTTTTAAGTGGACCAATCCGGAATTTCTGCATGTTTGACATCCCACGCGTTCGAGACTTCAGTTTACTGGTATGTCTTCGATGCAACGGCTACGTCTTTCAACAGCGTCGTAATGTTGGTTGCTCTGGTGTGTTCACTGATGGCCGATCACTTTACCGTTGATCTTTTCATCGAGCTCAGCAGTTAGCTTGCAAACGTTTCATCATTAATCGAGGAGGTATCATCAGTGTCCACATAACAACATTCTCATCACGCATTTTGAAATATGTTTGGCTACATATATGGCCAGTGTCGAACCTAGCTGGGTTGCAGTGTAGATACGCATCGAGGCCATTATCGGCTTCCATGTGATCTCGTTGAGGTAGTCACTTTTGAATTATGGTGGAAAACATATGTTTGGTCCCTTGATGCATTTAACTAAAAATTTTGAGTTTTTTCAGGTGACGCCATTTCTGGCAAAGCCCCGGAAAGATAGTCTGCAAAAGCAATTGCGAGCTTTACAGAACTGGTATTCACAACATCCTTCCTTGCACAACCCCCCACCCCCGTGTTCGTATAAGGTGATTCAGATTAGTCCATATTGTGACGGGGAAGCACTGGGCGTGATTTTCACTCAATACATTTCATCACCATAGGATATCCCTTGCAGTGACAATTAAGTGCTTTAAACATTTTGGCTAGTTTTATTAAACAGTAAACCAATTTCGTGCAAAGCAATCGAAATATTTTTCTTGACTCAACACTCATTACAACACTGGAAATCCTTATACCGGTTTCGCTCTTATGGCCCATCAGTCGGACGTCCCTGAGCTTCTGGTGACCTTGTTTCCTACTGGAAGGCCAATTCGTACGTAGTGGTACACTCATTCTAAAGTCAACTTGGTGTAAACGGAAATCTGAACTGAACATCTCTGGTTCTCACGATGTCAATTTGCAAATGAGTTTACAATGTCGTTTACATACAGTTTGATGTTCGGGTAGGAAATAATGCTGATAGAAATGGGAGGAGTACGACCATCCGATAACCCCAAGAAAGGCGAACGGTCCGTGGGCTGTTGAAAGGCTTCCAGGAGCCTCATGAAAATCTACTTTGAAATCTTGAATATCGTTCCATTTGGGACACGAGACAGCAATCGTGCTGCACATTCAGTCAGAGATTTGTATATACAAGTGATTCAGCTGATACGCAGTTTGGTCTCCCGCTAACATCAATTTAAAATTTTGTTGATTGAAAAACTCAATCCTCGTCTGATTAACAGTGAAATTCGGGTCCTTCCGATCATCCTGATTCACACTACTTTTTTTCCTTTTAGACTGACTATGTGAATGTGGCCACGACGGTTTTCACCCCAATCGAGTATGGCGCCATTGGCTTGAGTGAAGAGGATGCAATTGCCAAATACGGTAAAGAGAATATTACGGTGAGCTTCGTATAGACATGCATGACTCTTGTTTGGTCCTCGTCGTAACGTTTGGTGTGTCCAAATCCAAGCACCGGTATAACTGATACACCTGTGGACAGCCAGACACTTGCTATCGTTCACACGGCCTGCAAGCTCTTTACTCAGTCCGCGTACTTCCGTCGCTTGCCTCCTTCCTCTGCCGCTGGGGAATCACGCCATCCAGAATACCAAACTCTCCCCTGGTTAGCAGTGTTTCTTTTTGAGAGGGAAAATTACAACGGTCGGCTATCAAGTTTTTTACAATACTGCATATTCCACCATCTACGCTTATCTCCAAGTAAATACTAGTGGAATTTTTCATTTTTTTCTTGGAGTTGGATGCTACGAAAAACCCACTGTCTTTGCACATCCCAAACTGAGATGCACTAGAGAAGGGACTTTGGACGATGGTAGTCAGATGACGACAAACTAACAGTTCAGTGTTAAATCACTATCCACGAATAATAATAAAAAAGATACAGTGGATTTGTTTGATTCAGGTTGGAAATTCCATAGGAATCTGACTGTGAATGGATAGCCAAGATATAGTCCAAACATTACCCATGCAGACCTCAATTGTGGGCTTGAACGTCGGAAACTATATATA